TATGTGTGCAGGACTAGAACATCAACCAGTGTGTTAATGACATTTTGGGGACTTGGACAACAATGTACATGACTAAAACTTGTTGTCTGGTCACCCAAAAAACCGAACAGGATTCCATTCTTGGAACTCAATGCTTCTGATGAAAACTGTTTTATAAGTGTAAAGCATTAACAACTATCTTATTGCTTCAGGTTGCTCCTGCTCTTATTCTCTTAAGCACCTCCAAGAAAACATAAAAATGTTACACTAAAATATATGCAAATTTACTTCTTGGGTCTACTTACACTGAGTTTGTAGAACTCATCTGGAGAAAGCTGAAAGCTATAGAAATACACGGTGCTTGCTAGCTATAGCAATACCATCACAGTTGCATGGAGCAATATTTTATAGGTTGATAGACTCAGAATTATATCTATGTTCTTACCCTTTTCTTTGCAAAACCCAGGTCATTTTGCATGTAGTTTTTTCATATCTTTTCCCTTCAATTAAAAAGAAGGCAAGCAAAACCACAGATGAGCAATCTTCAGTAACAAAATAGTACTCACAAATGAACAAGAGTAAATTCCTTTCTGGGATTATCATCAACTATTTTTGATGGAAAACAATATTTTAAATTATTTTTAAAATATACTCTGCCTTTTTAATTTTCAGCTGATCTGTAACAGAAACAGATGCCAACAGGTATCTGATAGGGAGAGCATCTAAAGAAAAACCTATTTATATTTTAACCGAACACAATGAACTTGCATCAACTTGCATGCCACCTCTGAACTTCTGGACTTCTCTCCCCAAAGAAGGTATATAATAATTCTAAAAACCAAATTAATTGATAGGTTAGACAATCCCTTTTTCCCAATGAAATTTTCCAGAAATCTTATGAAGACAACTAGCTTTGCATCAAAGTTTTTCCATCAACCAGAAATCTATTATAAAAACTTCAGTGACAGAAGAAACAAATGCTTGATACCAGTTGAAGTACTTCAGATGTTAAGTCTTTCTACCTGCCCATACACAATGCACTGAAACACTTCTCCCCACTTGGGCAGCAGCTGACGTTGTCTCCAAAAACAAAGACACTTCCTGGATTCAATTTATAGTTAGGTGTGAGGAAGAGAAAAAGACTATTCTGATACTGCCTGAGGGTAGGCAGGAGCCAGGGAAGGAAAAGAAAGCATGCCGGGAGCCACACTCCCAGAGTGACTGCTCCATGAATTTGGAACAGCCCTAGAGAGAGGCAGGGACAAGAAGAGACCCGGATGAGGGAGAGAAGTGTGACACGACACAGGGAGGAGCCCAAGCAGGTGTGCGGGATGCTTGGAGCGATGGAGAGCCAACAGACAGCAGATCAAGAGACTAAGTAGAGTCTTACAAGCCAGAGAGAGAGAGACTCCAGCTGAAGACCCGTTGATGTAAACAAGGTACAGAAACCAGATAAATAGATGGAGAACCTGAAAGCCCTGCAGAAACAAGTAAAAATTCTCCTTTAAGTTTTTATGTTAAGAAAACAAAAAGAAACAAAAGTGAGTTGGAGAGTAGTGAGGACTGCAGACTCTAAAAATTGAAACCCCGAGGCAGACAGTTGGGAGAGACATCAGAAAGACTTTCATTATTTTATAAATGTATCCCTAAAAAGAGATGAGGGTACTGAGCAACCTCATCTCAAAAGGGTTTTCTTCCTGTTTTGTTTGTTTATCTTAATTTTTTCTAAGACTGAACGTTGTAATTGCCAGAGTCTGAAGAAGTTGTCTGTTAGGAATTGGAGAAGAAAATTCCGAACTATTTAAGAAAACAATAATTTTTGTTATATAATTTGAATAATAAAAGACAGTTAAAAGAGAAAAAAAAAGATCATTGTGAGCTTTTACAATAAGAATTGCTGAATTTCTGTAGACTTGGAGGAACGTTCAAGAGTTCTGTGCTACAAGATAAAATAACATATTCAGGTTATATAGTGGTGTTCAAATCCATCCCTCCCAATAAAAAAACTTTTTATTTCTATCAAGATGTGGCAGGCGAGAATCGGGATCACCACTAAAATATAAACTGGTAATTGAAATTTTTATCTTATTATCATCTGTGGCGTAATTCTAAAAGAGATGGGAAAAGATATACCTTTACCTAACTACAATGAGGCATACTATCTCACATTAGGACAGCAAGAATATTGCGCTCATTGGTAGGGCTAGTGTTTCTCAGACACAGTATGGTCACTGGGAAAAAAGCAAAGGTAAGTAAATTTATAGTAAAAGGGACTGTAAGGTCATTTGTTCCCTTTTCAATTAAATTAACCTTAATTTTGTAATACAAACTATTTAAAGCTTTTTAACAGCATTTAAATCTCTCTGCAGTCCAGCCGCCTTAGAAAGGAATGAGGAAGAGAGATGGCTGCTTTCTCTTTCTCTGCATTTCTCCACTGTCTCAGTTATTGCTCTCATATCAGTTTTTCCCCACAAACACCCAAGAAACTATGAAACCTGTAAGAAAATGACTAGCCCTATATATCAGAAATAAATTAATTAAAATGAAAAGTAGATACCTATAACAAGACACCTGCTTGCTCTTAGACTGCTGCAGAGACTTAGGGCACACATTAGTGAGTTTAATTAATTAACATCACAATCTCACAGCAAGGAGACTGCATTCCCATTTATCAGCAATGTAATGTATTAACCCTGGGAGTGACTGTCAAAAACCAGTGCAACACCAAGTTAATTAGTACTCTCTTATACTACTACTAGGCATTGAGGAATGGCTGCTCACAGTTGTACAAATTGGAAAGTTAACTTTTACTTTATATATACACACATGCACATACTAATATGTATTTAGTATGTTTGTGTGAATCTATACATGCACACACAAAATGCATATACATGTCTTAGTGCAGTAGGAAAAGAAATGCTTTCATTCATACAATTCCAATCTTGGGAGAATACAACATTAAAGTTTGTACCCCTGTCCTAGCTATTACCAAAACAGATACCTGAGGAGATTGAGCACTTGGCAGCTTGCCCAAAAGACCAGACTTAAGTATAGACAACTCTTTTTAACTCATTTACAAACAAGGAACATATTTTTTCTCTGCATTACATTACTATAAAGGTTGAGTAACTTCATTGAGGACTGTGGAGTTCCACTGCTGCAGTTTTGAAGCAAATAAAAATACAATTTAACCCATTAGTATTTTTATTTCATTTCTTATTCCTACAGAATACTAGATAACAGCAAAACATGAGCTGTATGGAAGTAGATAATTTTGAATTCTGGATTGCTGCCTTTTAAGTAGATATGGTAGACAATAAATCAGGCATCCATAAAGAATATATATTTTGTAGTCATTTAGCTGGCAACTGGAGGTCACTGGTTCCTTCCACAGAAATACAGCTGCAAGGCTGTATCTTGAAGTGGAAATTGTGAGCTGTCTAAGAGGGAAAAATGGAAGAAAAATAAGTTATTATTTTGCACTCAGTGGCAGAACTGTT